CCTATTACATAATAATTGAATTGATTGATTTCTTAGATGGATGATTGAAACATGATTGATACCTTGATTGATTGATACATGATTGATTGCTTAGACAGGTGATTGATTGAAACACAAATGTAGAAATATTAGAAACTAAGTTATAATCATGCTGGAAAAGAAGGTTATTCCAAGCAAAAGACCCTGCCTTGTAAATGAATTTGGAAAAATCAATTTCCAAGCTAGCTTGGATATATAGCCATGACCTTCTGATTTGTACTTCATGATCTACCAGCTGATCTACAAGGTCAGAGTAGGCCAGGTTGATTGATTAATTAATGACTGACTGACTGATTTGATCAATCAATTGATTGACTGACTGATTTAATTTGCTGATTGCTTAGACNGTGATTTTTTTCTCTTAACAGGCTTATTCCAGAAAAACAACTGAAACTTCATGTTAAAAGCGCGCCCTAGGGTCAGGGTTTTCGTATAGCTGCCATAAGCTTATGTCACTAAGTACCAGTGCATGAACCGGATCGCTGATTTGAACTTACTTTGATTTTCGCRTTGGTGGCTTCTTCTCGATGTCATTCATGTACTGGGCAATCAAAATATCTTCATAACTTATAAGATCRCTCATTCCTCGCTGCATTGCTGTCATCGGTCTTGGTCGGGACGCCATATTTGAACCTTTCAAACTTCAAACAATTAACGCTCAAATCTACCAGCTGRAATCCTACTTTKCCTTCACAGCGATTAAATAATATTTCTTTTCATTCATGAATGAAAGAATAAAGGCAATAACAATCGTTAACAGCCGATAATTCTATGTTTGTTTACATTAATCGCATTTTCAGCGCTCAAATCGTCCTCCATTTTGTGACTTTGGTTGCTACGAGTGACGTCAGGAAAYACAGGAAACCCAATTCTTGCAGATTGTCATTCTTATWTTTTTTTTCTTGAAACTTTCTTGAACTGCTTATAAACTGCTTGTGTTTGTTAAGTAGTATTGATTGAATAAGAAAACATTCATTATCTTATCTTTTTCTTTGTATTATAGTACAAGAATGCAAACAGCAAAAATTCTACGAAAAAAGATCTTACCGATTTTTTAAAGATAGCAGCAATAATCAAATAAAAAAACGAGCAATAAGATAAAATCATTATTCAATGCAAGTAAAGGAAACTGCGTCACAGGGGTCCACACTGGTCCAACCTCGTTCCCAGGGCTACTCTGCTCGCTTTTTTCAAAATGGCGGACAGAGATAGCCCTGGCATTGGCCGGTCACGTGACACCCACTCTCAGTGGGTGTTTAGTGTGGATTACCGCTGAATGCAGGCGCTATTTGGTTTTGGAAAATTATAATGTTCGGAGAGCAACATTTGACTTTTTTCAACTTTTCAAAACATTCTGAAAAGCTAATTTTCACACGTTTTTAATGCAATCTGGAAGATTCCCGCCAATTTCATTAGATTCCGATCCGTGTTTGAATGCACGTCCAGAAAAACTTGTTCATCAAAGAAAGAGAAGGAAAAACTAAGTCATTTTTGAGGGTTTGTCAATCCAGTTTAGCAAACTGTGGCCCTAAAAGAAACAGTCTTGACTACCTTTTCGCTTCAAGTGATTGACAACAAGGAGTTAAAGACATGTTAAAGATCAAGAGGAAAAAACAGTAGATTTGTGAACTCTCTTTTTGAATTGTCGAGTAGTAAGTTAACCTTGGTTATGGATTCGTCGAAGACCAAAGCAGCTGTATAAAAACTCAAGAGATATCGACTCAAATCATCGAGATGACTGAAAACAGGAATTTGAATTCGCTTAGGCTGCTGAAGACTGTGTGGCAAATTGTTCAAATTTATAAGGTAACTTTACTTACTGTAAAAGAAAATGTCAATGTTTGTTGAAGAAGTTCAAACATGTCAATTGATCTCTTTTTAGTCCTTTTTCATGGCTTATCTCGCTGATATATCTACAAATCTATCTAGAAAGTCTAGAAAGTTTTAAAACGCCAATTCATCTAAGCTAGAAGGTACTAAACCATAAGATTTTTGAAAGTTTTATTTTTAAAGTTTGAAAAACATTTTGCAAAAATACCGGCTAGGCATCTTGCTGAGTCAATTGTACTTTGAACTCTATCGCGCAAATTTAAAAAGCATGCCAAAATCCTTTTTTCACAACTTATTTTCCCGCCTTGATCTAAGATATTCATCTTTGGTGAGTAATATAAGCTTAATGATAAATAAAAAAATCCGAACATAACATTTCGTGCCCACTACGAGAACGAACGGCGATCAGATGTACAAGGCGATAAAAGTACGCCAAGAATGACATGTAATTTTATTACACTTTATATATATATCATTTACAATAANTAAATCATTCATTAATTCACTGATTAGACAGATTGTTTATTGATTGACTAATTATCATTAACTATCATTATAATGATAACTTATAATTAATAAGCTAAAAATGATTTGTGTTTTCATTGTCTATTACCTTTCATTGCAGCATATGGATCCTTAAACGCCTCTCCACAGGAAACATAGACATCAGCATCTCTCTCAATCTGCCTGACATCCACTACAGGAGTACCATCACTGAAGAACAGCTTGCGTGCTGCTGATATCAGGCCTAGTTTATCAGTACACGCATCTAACAGCTGAAAGAATAGAATGACTGGGTTACAGGAACATTTTCATTGGATTTGATAAATASAGGAACAACTTATAAGAACATGATTTCGAATCAGAGAGGGGTTTGAAGTGCCTTCATTTATGAACAGCAAATTGACACAGATAGGACATACACCTATAATTATAAAAATGCACTGTATACAAATCACCAACCAGTCCATGTCTGATCTCAAATTGTACAGCTTTGATCGAAACTGGTTCCGTGTTACACCCTACCTACAGGTATGTATGTACAATTGCTCCCTATAGGGGAAGGGGAAGGACAGATTAACACTGCCTGAGTTTTACTGAGGAGGGAGAAAACACTACTTACTTTAGAGAGCCCAGAAAAAAGCCATTGATAGTATAGTGTAATGCCCACTCCAGGAATTGAATAGGAACGACAACATTGACTGACAAGGGCTCTCAACTTTGGCTCAGAAKTTATATCATTTGGTTTTAATTTTGATATTTTTTTTATGGCTGATTGTTATATATATTATTATTATATACCTGTAACATGTCAGGAGCAGTAACTCTAGCAAAATTATCTCTATTGCCATTCTGAAATGCTCTAATACATATCACTTTTGGTTGCTTCTTGTATAATGGTTTCTTTCTTTTCATACCTGATACAGACCCTTATAACAGTCAAGGAAAAAATGTCAGAACAAAACAGAATATTGTACAGTCATGTAAATTTATATGCATTAGAGCGGATTTCGTATGAGTGGGACACCGTTACCGCACGGTTACYGCACAGTTACCGGACCTGGCCTGCACAATTTTGGTGAATCAATGGGGCACTAGAATTTTGGTTACAGTACGATTACGGTCACAGTACAGTACCRTCCGTTTCCCACTCATACGAAATCCGCTCTATCAGAGTATAGACAGTACTCAGTATGACTTTATTAACCTTGAGAATAATAAGACTTGGATGTTCTTGATCCATACGTAGAGCTGACAGCAGATGAAAATGATGAAGATCTATCACAAATGAAATAGACATATATATATATTGAAGAAAATGCCAACATCAAACTCTAGATCTTATTACATTGTCTGTTACTACAAAAATGGTCTTTGTGTGAAATACATCTAGTGTCTGATAATGATATAAGATATAGCAATGACACAAATAGAAATACACCTTGATCTGGTACTTGATGCAGTAGAGGGTCGTTTCCTGGCTTTGGGTGTGGTCTTTGGTACCTGTAGGTAGACATCACCTTCTTCCCCATCCCAAGCCATGAATGGCACCCTATCATGAACCATGGCTGCCCTTGCTGCTTCAAGCTGCTGTTTCTTGTGATGAGTTGCTATTGCTGACTTTGGTCTGCTTGACTTGACTTGATCACCTGACTGTGTTGCTAAGGAGTATGGTGACACTGATACATCCCCCCTGAAATCAATCTGTGTATTAGCTTTGAATGATATAAGTGCTAGGAGATCAACATGATGCCATTGGTATTAGTATACAGTGTATGATATAGATGTACATAAATAAATTATTGTTAGCATTTAAAAATGGTATGAATGTATGGATATGCTGGAATAATAGACTGTTGGGAAGTCAAATA